ATTTATTATTTCTGGAATTTCACAGGATCTTCCTGAGTAAAAACTGAGAGGGAGTAAGAATTGAAAATTTCACACATATCACAAGCGGTGTTCCACAGGGGTCAGTGTTGGGCCCCTTGTTGTTCACAATTTACATAAACGATATAGATGAGGGAATAAATGCGACATAAGCAAATTTGCTGATGACACCAAAATAGGCCGTCCAATCATTCTATTGAGGACATTAGTGCACTCTAGAATGATTTGACCTGAGCTACTCTTAAGTGGGCCTATCTTGTCTTTAATCTTACTTCTGTATACCTGAAAGAACCCTTTTGGGTTAGTCTTCGAATCCCTTGCGACCTTAGCCTCATATTCTCTTTTTGCTTTTCTTATTCCTTTTTCTCTCTCTTTAATTGAATATATTGATTTCTTAACTGCCAATCTCCTCCTCTGATATGCCTAAAAATGCCTCTCTTTTGACCAATGAGATGTTTTAATCTATTGTTCATCCTTTTGAGATCATTTTTGTTAAATCTAATTTCCCTACTCAGAACAAAAGTTGACTGAGCAGCTAGAACCATGCTCTGAAAAAGTCATATTGGCAACCAACACCAGCTACCTGACCCATAGTCAGATCATCCCAATTTAGCCCACCCAGGTAATTTTTCAGTCCGATGAAATCAGCCAACTGAAAGTCTGGGACAGAGACTTGATTACAGTTTACTGGGTAATTCCATAATATATTGAAACTAAGTGATTTGTGATCACTTTCCCGAAGTTCATCATTAACCTCAAGATTATTAACCCTTTCAGGGTCTGTGCCGTAGATCTACGGCTTTACATGGAGGGTCCAAACTGTAGATCTATGCCATGAGCTCAGCTCACTCTGATAAGCTGTGAGCGGTAAATTTGGGCCTGGATATGAGAGAATACATCGATGTGGTATGTGTGCGCCACATAAAACAAATCCTGCATCACACAGTGCATAATGAGAGAAAAAACCGAGACCGTAATTTTCGATTAAAACAGCAACTTTGCAGTGTTTTCTCGTATGATTTTACAGTTGTATTTGCAATTTCTTGGTCTCATTTGATAGAATGGAAGATATATTACAGAAACAGAGATGATTTTGATTGGATTTAGTACTGAAAATGGCTTGAAACTGAGCTCAAAGTAGCAGAAATGTTAAATTTTTGCCAATGTTCAAGAGTAAACAAATGACCCCACACGTCTAATACACGCTAGCTGGTGGGTCTAATATACATTCACATATGTGATGATATTATTTATATAATTATTACAATATTGCACGACAGTAAATCTTCTATTTTTTGGTTTGAATAAAAATTCATTATGTGATTTAAAAATCAAAATGGAATTCATTTGTAAAGCCTGAAAACATAACTAATGAACAGAGGAAATGTTAGTTTAGTGCCAGGAATGCCTGCATTGTTTATTCTGGACCCTATTTTGAAACTGGAATATTTTGAACTTTGCACTAAATTGGCTAATATACCAATTTTCAATCACTTTATTTTGTAGTTGAAACAATTGAGTTGGCAATTTCTTGTGCTCAGTCAATAGAATACATACAAGAAATACAGTGGACCCTCGACTAACGCTATTAATCCGTTCCTGAGAGCTCATCGTTAGTCAAGGTAATTTTCCCCATAAGAAATAATGGAAATCAAATTAATCTGTGTAGGACACCCCAAAGTATGAAAAAAAAAATTGTTTTTACCACATGAAATATTAATTTTAATACACACAAACTGAAGAAGACATGCACAGTTACATGACACTTACCTTTATTGAAGATCTGGTGATGATTGATGGGATGGGAAGAGGGGAGCGTGTTGATGGTCTTAGTGTTTAGAAGGGGAATCCCCTTCCATTAGGACTTGAGGTGGCAAGTCCTTTTTCGGGGTTACTTCCCTTCCCTTTAAATCTCTGAAACCAACCTTTGCTGGCCTTAAATTCACTCACATCACCACTAGTTGCTGGCATCTTTTAATTAAATCATCATGCAACTTCCTAGCCTTTTCACATATGATCGCTTGAGAGATGCTATCTCCTGCTATCTGTTTTTTGTTTATCCACACCAATAACAGTCTCTCAACATCTTCGAGTACTTGTGATCTCAGTTTCGAAAACATAGTTGCACCTTTGGCAAGAACAGCTTCCTTGATTGCCGTTTTCTTGCCTACAATAGTAGCGATGGTTGATTGGGGTTTTGTGTACAACCTGGCCAGCTCGGAGACACGCACTCCACTTTCATACTTAGCAATGATCTCTTTCTTCATATCCATAGTAATTCTCACCCTTTTTGCTGTAGGGTTGGCACTAGAAGCTTTCTTGGGGCCCATGGTGACTTATTTTGCAGGTGCAGTCACTAAAAAGGCTGTGATAATATGAAATGTTCCGATTGTATGCTTGGAAGCGACCGCGGTGGCTGGCTGGCTTGTAAACACTAGCCAGAAGTGGACACGTCTCAGACGGAACGAATAGTGTTGGTCGAGTTTTTTAGCGCTAGTCGAGGCAAAATTTTTGCGTTAAAATGTATCGCTAGTAAGATTTATCGTTAATCGATGCCATTGTTGGTCGAGGGTCCACTGTACTAGTGAAATAGCTAAGAATTTGGTCGACTGGAATAAGGTAATTGGCCTAAAATGGGAGTCAAAATCGGCAAAAATCGCCAATGCGTAAGTACCGCTGACACATCAAAATTCGCGAGAGCATAATTTCGTCAATTTTCCATCAAATTTCATACTTTTTCTTTTATTACCCTCAGAAAAGGATCTCTACCATTCCATAAGAAAAAATAACAAAATTAAGTTTTGAAAATTCTTGAACACTGGTGCGCACTTTGAAATTTGGCCTCTGGACCTTGAAAGGGTTAATTAGTGAATCTTTGTTGGCAAGAACCAAGTCAAGCAGATTGTTTCCTCTGGTTGGGTCTGTCACAAACTGTTTTAAAAAGCAATCCTGAACTGTATCAAGAAAGTCATTAGACTCAAGATTTCCTGTCAAATTGTTCCAATCAATTTGTCTAAAGTTAAAATCCCCCAATAACACAACATTTTCATATCTAGACACCTTACGAATTTCGTCCCATAGCAGCTTACTGCCCTCTCAATCAAGACTTGGGGGCCTATATATATATCACACCCAAAATTATTTTTTCATACCCCTCGAGAAACTGTAGCCAAACAGATTCTGTGTCCGATGTTTCTATTATTATATCATGTCTAACACAACAATTTAAATTATCTCTGACATACATCGCCACTCCACCACCCTTCCTGCTGACCCTATCAGTGTGGAATAGTTTATAACCATTGTATGTTGCATTCAGAAGGCATTTCTCTATCCTTCAAGTTGAACCAGGTCTCAGTTATAGCAATAATATCTATATTACCTGCATTTGCAGGTAATCTTAGCTCATCTATCTTATTTCTTAGACTCCTACTATTTGTATAGTAAACCTTAAGGGAGCTAGTCACTTGTTGCCCTCTACTATCTCTCTGTCTGTTGATCAGTTGCTTTGCCTCTATTAGGAACTTTATTTTGAATATTGTCTTTTAAACATATCCGTGCGGTATCCTGGTAGTATCTGCAGTTTCCAACAGTAATACTGTAGCCTGATTGTTTCCCACAAACACCCATACCTCTATAATCTACCAGTTTAAAGTCCAAGACAAGTCATCAATTACCCCCTCAATTGAATTGGCTAATGCAACCACTCCAACCCTAGAGATATGAACCCCATCCCTTGCATACATATCATGTTTGCCATAGAATTTGTCCCAGTTATCAATGAATGGGATTTCAAGTTCCTTGCAGTACCTGTCTAGCCAGCAATTTATACCAACTGCCCAAGACATCCATTTATTGCCCACTCCCCTTCTAGGCAAGATGCTACATATGATATGGATCCCTCCCTTAGACCTGACTACTTCTATGGCTGACCTATACTTATCCAGTAGCTCCTGTTTCCTGCCCTTCCCAATGTCATTTCCACTAGCACTAAAACAGATAATGGGCTTGTTCTCATTACCCGACATAATGTTATCCAACCTGCTGACTATGTCACCAACACCAGCTCCTGGGAGGCACACACACTGTCTGACTTTTCTATCTCTGTTACAAAAAGCACAGCCCATATATCTTACCTGAGAGTCTCCCACAATCAGAATATTCTTACCTTGATTAGCAGGGGAGTCAGAGGTACCTTTAACCTCACCAACCACTGAAGTACACTAGTCTTGGAGAACAGAAAATCGATTTCTACCTTCACATCTTCTTTATTAACCTTCCTTATCATCCTTCTTCCTGAACTGTGAACCACTTGCCACTTAACCCTTAAACGGTCCAAACATATATATACGTTCACTCGCGTAGCGCCCCAAACGTATATATACGTTTTCTTTGTCATTCATTCAACATTGCCACGATAAGCCTGAGTCACCTAGACACGAGAGAATGGGTGTGCGCACTCACTGTGTGCCATATTAAAATAATTATGGATGCCTGGGTACCATATGCTCTTTTTTCCTATTAAAAAAAAAGATTTTTTTTTTCTCAAAAAATTTGGGGCGCTACGCAAATGAACGTATATATACGTTTGGACCGTTTAAGGGTTAAAGCAGCTGCCACTCTCACTGGTGGTAAGCATTTCCTCCTTACCAGCACCAACTATCTCACACTCACTCCCAAATACATCTAGGCAAAGCTTCAGCCTCCTATTTTCCTCCTGAAGAAGAAGAACCTCCTTCTTCAACAATTTAACATGAGATTCTAAAACACTACAACAAGCCACGGTGCTTGGTAACACCCCACGCTTATACCCAGACAGCTCAGGACAGGTATGACCACACGTGACTACTGACCTCATTCATAACTATGCTGCTAAGGGGTTCTTTCAATAGGAGGAAGTACTATATAAAAATGGAAATGCAATGTACTTACCAGTTAGTTAAAACACCAAGTGGCAATGTACAGGTTTATCCAGCACTGACCTGCAGCATCTGGTAAGTGAACCCCATTCCTTCTTCTCCAATCAGGTTTTCAACAGGTACTCTAACATCCTCCAAGAATATCTGTGCTGTGTCTGATGACAACATTCCCATTTTATCTATTTTCTTTGTCAAATGGATACCTAAAATGCACACACACAAAAAAAATTAAAATTACCATTTTTAACTTTTCTCAGCATCACAAAAATAATTTTAAAACCTTTCTTTAATAAATAATTTTGATGTAGAAAACTAATTATCTTCATGATCACTCAAAATTATCCACTGAGGTCTAACTATAAAACAATAGGGTAAAACACTAAAAAAAAATTTCCAGAAAATTTCACATGCAAAATCCATGCTTTTTTCCTGATGAACATTATTAGCCTCATAAAAAACAGTGAATCAGTTTCTAAACTAAATACAGATTAAAAAAAATGGATTAAATTGATTAAATTATGGGGAATTAAATACAAAAATGGGAAGTGACACGGGTTACTTTTTGCTGATGATTTTTGTGCTTATGGGAGATTCTAAAGAAAAACTGCAAAGGTTAGTGGACGAATTTGGGAGTGTGTGTAAAGGGTTTAGAAAGTTGAAAGTGAACATAGAAAGAGTAAGGTGATGAGAGTATCAAATGGATATCAATTGGGGGAGTAGTAGTATGGAAGAAGTGAATGTTTCAGATATTTGGGAGTTGACGTGTCAGCGGATGGATTTATGAAGGATGAGGTTTAATCATAGAATTTGATGAAGGAAAAAAGGTGAGTGGTGCATTGAGGTATATGTGGAGGAAAAAAATGTTATGTATGGAGGCAAAGAAGGGAATGTATGAAGTATATTTAGTACCAACACTCTTATATGGGTATGAAGCTTGGGTTGTAAATGCTGCAGCGAGGAGGTGGTTGGAGGCAGTGGAGATGTCCTGTCTAAGGGCAATGTGTGGTGTAAATATTATGCAGAAAATTCGGAGTGTGGAAATTAGGAGAAGGTGTGGAGTTTAATAAAGTATTAGCCAGGGGCTGAAGAGGGTTTGTTGAGGGGGTTTGGTCATTTAGAGAGAATGGATAAAAGTAGAATGACATGGAGAGCGTATAAATCTGTAGGGGAAGGAAGGCGGGGTAGAGGTCGTCCTTGAAAAGGTTGGAGGGAAGGGGTAAAGGAGGTGTTGTGGGCGGGGGGTTTGGACTTCCAGCAAGCGTGCCTGAGCATGTTGATAGGAATGAATGGAGACAAATGGTATTTGGGACCTGACGAGCTGTTGGAGTGTAAAGCAGGGTAATTTTAGTGAAGGGATTCAGGGAAACCGGTTATTTTATATAAGGGAAATTGAGTCCTGGAAATGGGAAGTACAATGCCTCCCACTCTAAAGGAGGGGTTTGGGATATTGGCAGTTTGGAGGGATATATTGTGTTTTTTTTATATGTATATACTTTTTAAACTGTTGTATTCTGGGCACCTCAGCAAAAACAGTGATTATGTGTGAGTGAGGTGAAAGTGTTGAAGATGATGAAAGTATTTTCTTTTTGGGGATTTTCTTTCTTTTGTGTCATCCTCCCTCGGTGGGAGACGGCCGACTTGTTGAAAAAAAAAAAATTTCTTTCTTTCAACGTACCAGCCGTATCCACAGAGGTGGGGGGGCCCCAAAAGGAAAAAAAAGTTTCTCCTTTAAAAATTTTAGTAATACAGTGGACCCCGGTATTCGATAGCATCGGTATTCGATAAATCCGGTATTCGATGCATTATCGCAAAAAAATTTCCTCGGTATTTGATTGAAAACCCGGTTTATTCGATAGTTCGTATGGGGACCTGTCCACATGTGGCCTGAACTGCCCTAGTGTGCCAGTGTTTACAAGCCAGCCAGTGTGCGCGCATCTAAGGATACATTCGGTACATTCCATATCCATATTATCACTGTGTTTGGTGTTTGTTTCTGCAAAATAAGTCCCCCATGGGCCCCAAGAAAGCTTCTAGTGCCAACCCTGTGGTAAAAAGGGTGAGATTTAGTATGGAAATTAAGAAAGATTTTGAAGGGTTTGGGGCTAACCCTGAGAAGCCTATACCAGTTGTGGAATATATTGTGCCTACTTCAAAATTAAGGAAATGTGTGCACAGTGGGTTGAAGTGTAAACCTTTATGGATAAAAAATCACCCTAACACAGCTTTACAATGACAATGTTGTGGCCCAATTTAGACAAATCGTAAAGGAACGGGAGGTACAGAGCTTTGGACAGATTTGTTGTGCGAAAAGAGGTCCATTGACTCCAAGCTGGTACTAGTGGGATTAAAAGAAAAAAGGGAAGTAACCCTGGAAAAGGACTGATACCTCAAGTCCTAATGGAAGGGGATTCCTTCTAAACACTAACACCATCCACACTCTCCCCCCCCTCCCATCCCATCCATCATCACCAGATCTTCATTAAAGGTAAGTTCAATTATTTTATTGTTATTGTAATTTTTTCTATTGCATTAAACTTAATATTTCATGTAGTTAAAATTTTTTTTTCATACTTTTGGGTGTTTTGCACGGATTAATTTGATTGTCATTTTTTTCTTATGAGGAAAATTTTATTCGGTTTTCGATATTATTGGTATTCGATGAGCTCTCAGGACAGATTAATATCGAATACCCGGGGGTCCACTGTATATACAGGGGGAAGGGGTTACTAGCCCCTTGCTCCCGGCATTTTAGTCGCCTCTTACAACACGCATGGCTTACGGAGAAGAATTCTGTTCCACTTCCCCCTGGAGATAAGAGGAAATAAACAAGAAAAAGGAAAATAGAAAGAAAACAGAAGAAAACCAGGGAAAGGGGGTGTATATATATGCTTTTACATGTATGTGTAGTGTGACCCAAGTGTAAGTAGAAGTAGCCCAAAACATACCTGAAATCAGCATGTTCAAGAGACAGAAAAAAGGACCCAGCAATCCCACCATTATGTAAAAGAATTACAGGCTTTTGTTTTACACTCACTTGGCAGGACGGTAGTACCTCCCTGGGTGGTTGCTGTGTACCAACCTACTACCTATAATATACATATACAGTGGTCCCTCAATAATCGTCCATAATCCGTTCCTGGAAGTGGGACTATTCTATGTCCTAAAATCTGTATTGATAAAGCCACTGGATGGCAAAACGTCTACAATAAAGATATCCCGATGTTTTCACATGTGTCTTAACTTTATATTGTCGGTATTTTATACCTTTCTTGCACAAATTGTCAGACACTGCAACATCATGGAATCTTGGTACAGAGGACTTCTACAAGACCCTTTACGGTACTACAACTAACCCATCTCTTTGGGAAGGGCCTACTTCCACTGGGAATCCCCCCTACCAGTGACTATGCCCTGTCTGCTGCAGTCCTTATCCACTGACGCCTATATAACCGCCAAATCTTCTTGCCTTTGCTCCAGATTCTTCTCCACCACGATGCTGTGAACACTGACTCCAAGGCTGAGGGACTGATTACCTCATCTTTTGTATATAGTTCTACTATCTTCCAATTATGTCCTAGAATCTGTATTGATAAAGCCACTGGATGGCGAAACGTCTACAATAAAGATATCCAGATGTTGCACTTGTGTCTTAACTTTCACAATGCTGAGTTTACAGAATTTGGTTATTGTGTGGTTTACATGTAGTAAAATATTAATTACAGAGGGTGCCACTAGAACACCTAGCATGGCTAGGCATTTCGGGCAGACTTAGATTAATTCTTAACTTTAAAATATTACAAATTATGAGATAAGTTGGTATTATGGCTAAGTGACTAAATACTAGTTTGTGAGTTTAGCAATGTGAATGCTTTTGTTTTGGGACAATACATAGTTTCAGTATTGGAGTATCACAGGCCAACTTATGACTAGTTACGATTCATTATTTTAAGATTGAGATTGATATTTCTGTTTATGGTCAAATGGGTGAGTGAGTGTTAATGTGAACCACCAGGTGGTATTCGTGTTTAAATTTGTGACGGGGGTGTATCAGGGAGATAAGGGTGTTTTCTAACGGTAGTTTTGAAGGTGATGAATGTGTCTGCAGTTCTAGAGTTTTCAGGTAGGGTGTTCCAGATTTTAGGGCCTTTGACATACATTGAATTTTTGTAAAGGTTTAGTCGGACACAGGGAATGTCATAGAGATGTTTGTGTCTGGTGTTATGCCTATGGGTTCTGTCACAACTATCAAGAAAGCATTTTAGGTCAAGGTTAATATTGGAATTTAAGGTCCTGTAGCTGTAGATTGCACAGTAGTAAGAGTGGATGTACTGAACAGGGATTAAGTTTAGATCTATGAAGAGTGGAAGGGGGGTGTGTTGCCAGGGATGGGATTTCATGATTATTCTTACTGCGGCTTTTTGTTGGGTTATTCTTGGCTTTAGGTGTGTTGCTGCAGTTGATCCCCAAGCACAAATAGCATAGGTGAGGTATGGATAAATAAGTGAGTGGTATAGTGTGAGAAGGGCATTTTGCAGCACGTAGTATCGTATCTTGGAGAGGATCCCAACCGTTTTGGATGCTTTTTTGGTTGTGTGTTGGACATGGATGCTGAAATTCAGGTTGTTGTCGAGGTATAGGCCTAGGAATTTGCCCTCATTACGTCTGGCAAGTAGAGTGTTGTTGATCTTAATGTTAATTTGCACAACTCCTGCTCTGCTACCTAACATAATATAGTAGGTTTTGTCAGTGTTAAGCGTAAGTTTATTGGCTGTCATCCAAGTCGATATTTTGATCAGCTCCTCATTAACAATGGTGTTGAGGGTGGCAAGATTAGGGTGAGAGATGACATAAGTCGTGTCGTCAGCAAAGAGAATGGGGTTCAGATGTTGGGATACGTTTGGAAGATCACTGATGTATATGAGGAAGAGCAGGGGACCAAGGACACTTCCCTGCGGAACTCCAGTATCAAGTGGCCGTGTTGTTGATGCTGTGTCTTTAATGGTGACATACTGATACCTATTAGTAAGGTAAAATTTTGAAATATGCAAGCTCATGGCCTCTTATACCATAATGGTCAAGTTTGTGGAGTAGGATGCCATGGTCTGTGTCAAAAGCTTTTCTTAGGTCAATAAAAATTCCTAGTGGATTTTTCCTTATTTTCCAATGCTGTGTTAAAGCAGATCTAGCATTTTTATAATTGTAT